ACTTTTGTTTTTCCTCGGGAATATCAATTTTTTCCGGGTTAAAAAGTACCCTATTATTTAATCCGGACTTCTAACTTTACGTCTGCAAAAAATCAAAGCAATCGGTTGAGTAGTTACGGCGCGAAGGTGGAACAAACAAACAAACAAACATACTCACTTTCAGATTTATAATATTATAGTAAGGATTTCTGTCTTAATAGTCACTGTAGCTAACCACCTATTCCTAGAAATCCAATTTTTGAAGTATTCTTAATTTTTTTGCTGTGGTTTTTAAGCATATCAGTTAAATTAAATTAAATATTTCGTAATCAGTTAAAACTGTGACTGAAAGAGTTAAGACGGTTTTACAAATCTTTGTTATTTAAAGGTGCTCCCTCATCTGGAGTATTCGCGTGTAATATAACGTTACAGATCTGAGCATTACATCCGCGAAGGAGGAGTACCGAGCATTACAATGCGCATTACCTTGCAATGATACAATGTGTAATATCTTGATACAACTTGTAACATCAATGTCTGATATCTTGCTATGAAACGCTCAAAGTCGAATCGATAACGTTACATTACACGCAAATGCTCGTTAGTCAGGGAGGTATTATTGTAATGTAATGCTCAAAGTCGAATCTATAATTTTACATTACACGTAAATGCCAATCCCGGTGAGGGAGCACCTTTATATTTCTTATTATATATTTTTTACTAATATGTAAATTTGAAGAGTTTATTTGTTTGTTTAAACGCTCTAATCTTCGAAAGTAATATATAATCGGACTAGATTAGATTTTTTTCTGTTAGATAGTGCAGTATTGAATAGAGTAACCATAGAGATTCTTTTTCGTTCTTCTCCATTCGAAACTACACTTTGAAACGAGCACCTAGATTTACTGGTAATTGAATTTGACGTTTTAAAAGTATATAATTGAGAATTATTTGAAACTAGCTTCTGCTAGCGACTTCGTACGCGTAATCCCATTTTTTCCCGTCCCTGTTCGTGATTTTCGGTAAAAAGTAAAAAAAAATGTTGGTCAAAAAGTATCCTATGTCGGTTTCCTGGCTCTAAGCTACCTCCCTACCAATTTTCAGCCAAATCTATTCTGCCGTTCTTGAGTTATAAGTGGTGTAACTAACACAACTTTCTTTTATATATATAGATAACTGCTTTGACTTTGACAGATATTCAGATTAAGTGAAATCGGTACAGCGATAGTTTGAGACCTAGGTAAAAACGATTTAGTTTTTATCCCGAAAATCCCCTAAAAATGGGAACTATGCGTTAAAGCCCCGAGACTCTGCAGATACAAATGCGATTTTAGTGATATTTATTTTAGTGAGATTCGGTATAATAATCTGAGAAAGGACATAGATTAGTTTTCATCATTAAAGCTTTACGGAAACGGGCCCTGTACGGGTAAAGTCCTTATGGAATTATTTATTTATATTCTGAAACAACAAAAATAATTAATTTCACAATAAATCTAAATTAGGTACTGAATCGATTCAACCGTAGAATATACATTGGAAATGACTGATTCAAACATCCAAATTCACCACGAAGACATTATTCTACGCGGACGAAGTCGAGGGCAACAGCTAGTGTGTAATATTATAATATTACAATGAAATTACGGAGCTACTTGTTATCTTAAACTGTCAAACACCAAGCGGTCACCGGTGACCGCGACCTATTGTTCTTTAATTGTGTCTATAAAACCGGTACTCGACGAGTTAACCGGTGTTACCAGCCTTTTTTGCTACGTAGCCATTTTGAAATCAATTAGTATTTTTATTTCATTTAATTAATTTTAATTTGTGTTTTTCATATCACAGTCACTGTGAAATCAATTAGTAATTTCATTTCATGCGAATTATCAATCAAAATTGTCATTTGTGAACGAAATGTCTTTCAAATATGTGCATATGGATAACGGTATATTTCTTTTTGTATTATTTAGCTCAGGTAAGTAATACATGGAGCCTGTTTCAATTTCGTCTCAGTTACATAGATTTTAGATAATATATAGTGAACTCATCTAATTCTGTGACTCGCCTAATAATTCGGTTTAGTAAATTTGGTAGAACTCTTAGGTTTCTAGAAAAAAATCTGATTATTTGTGCTAATGTTCCTCATAAAAGACAGATTAAAACTCATGCGGAGACTGAATTAAATTAATTAATAATTTATTGGTATTTTATTACTCAAATGCCTTTGTCACGAAGTTAGATGAGTTCACCCTACATACATTTCTTTCCTATAAGAGTCTCTGAACGGTTTTTTTTAAGAAAAACTATTAAACGAATGCGTTCGTCTTTTTGATGTACTTTAATAGTAGCTTGTTCGCATAGGAATAGCCCGGTCAAAATACACATATTGACTTAGACATAAATTCGCGTATCACGCATACGCACGAGTCGATCCCAAGGTTAAGCTATGTTCGCCGACGTTATTCTTTGGATGGGTGGCAATTTATTATTAAGCTGCTTTTATAAGTACGTACTCGGACATGTTAACAATGAGTTTTGGAATTTTTATCTTACAATTAATTGAGTTACGATCATTATTTCCTTAGCTAAGTAACACTTAGCAACATTATAGGCACTATAACTCCGAAACCACTGACTTTTGACCATTAAAGTTGTATTCTGCATAAGAATACCTAGGTATCTATCTATAAAGGGGTTTTTATTCCTATGGAAAGGTGGGCCCAACATTAACCATTTTTAAGGAGGGAAAATCATCGAATAACTTATCCCGCCTGGGTGAGGCGGAAGGGAGTGTCAGACTCATCCTGACTAAAAATCACCCCGTTCCTAATTCTAACCATCGAGCTAGAGCCCCGGTAACCTGTTAAGTCAACAACATTACCTATTGTCATATAATCCGAACATCAGCCAATAAAAATATACACTGATTTATCTACTGGCCATTTCCACGCGGTTTCAACCGCTCTTCTCAGTATCTATTTATCTCAGCGTGTTGTTTATAGCCTATAGCCGAAAGGCAAGAGGTCGTTAAGGCAAGTCGATAAGTGGACAATCCAGTACAAAAGTAATTTTTCAAATCGGACCAGTTGTTCCTGGAACCCCCTGGGGGTTCAAAAAAAACAATCAAACTAAATTTAATGATTAGGTGTGTAGAACGTGTGTTCTACTTATGTTAAATTTGTGATTTACTCAAAATTTCAGTTACCACAACGAGTATAGCAGAGGAGACAACAGTGACCACAGAAGGAACAGTAACAGAAAAGAGTATGTATAAGACTAACACTAATTCAAATAATTTCTCTTCTTTCTTTCTTCCAAAGTCAAAGTCAAATCTGTACATCTGTGCTTCTGTACATCTGTACATAATAATAAAATCATAGAAAAATGAACACTGTACACTGAATATTTTTTAAAGAATACTTGGTTCATTATCTGCAATCGATATCGAAAACAAAAATACGATTATTTTTAGAAAAAGTTATAGGATTTTGTCTGTTTGTCTGTATGTTCGAGACAAACTCAAAAAGTACTGCACGGATTTACTTTAAATTTTGCATGAATATTAGGTTAGGTCAACATATATGCGACATAAAATCACATTATCACTTACGGTGGAGGAGCTATGAATCACTATTCCACCCGGACAAAGTCGCGGGCACAGCTAGTCGTACATAAATTTAAAAAGATTAAGGAGGCACTTTTCACAGGCACAAATCAAACAACTAACAACATCATTTGTGGTGATCTTAAGAATTAATTGTCATATCTTAAACATGGCATATATATAACAAGTGACATAGAATAAAACTGACTGCGACCCCATCGACACTTTCTAAGTGTAGTGTGCTAATGTCGTAGTGGCCCGGAGGTTTAAGACGCTCGCTTCTCATGCATGAGGGTGCGAGTTCGAAACCTACCAACGGCAAGTACCAATGTGACTTTTATCGAGTTATATGTACTTTCTAAGATTATTCAGACACCACTGACAAACGGTGAAGGAAAGCATCGTGAGGAAACCTGGGCTTATAATTTCTAATTATAAGTTTGTAATCACCAATCCGCATTGAGCAAGCGTGGTGATTAATGCTCAAACTTTCTCCGTGTGAGAAGAGGCTTTGCTCAGCAGTGGGCATTTATAGGCTATTGATGAAGTGTAGTGCAAAATATCATTTCGACTCTTTTTTATCGGTTCGTGAAAAGTACTCGAGATCTTTGGTCATATCGTCTGAAATAAGGGCATAATTTAAGGGTTAGGTTACTTAGGGTTGTCGGTAATATACCTCTACTTAAACGTCATAATCCTATTAGGTGAAGAAGGTTATCCAGCTGCTATCAATTTGGTCATGAAGAGGAACAAGTGGTGAGCTATTGTTTGGGAGATTATTTCACAACTAGGGATCCACGACTCTAACGAAACATGATAAAATAGTTAGAATTAAACATCTCTAGAAGTGTGACCTACGTCAAACCAACTAATACGGCAAGTGACCAGTGGGATGACCTGATAGTATGCAATTAGGGATTTGAGGATTGGAATTAGAGTTTGGGAGTTGATGCGGAGATTTGAACCTTTGGTAACCTCACTCACATAGCGAAATGCAACGCAAGTTTTGGTTCATGGTTTTCTATAATTCCATATATTACTCCCAAAATATACATACATAATAATATTTTTTATTTAACTTGTACATTTCAGCTAACAGCACGGGTGGAGTAAATGTTACACAGAAAACAGTAAAAAAGGATACGATGCACCAATAAGCAGTGAGTTCAGCTAATGATACAAAAATGTTTTCTTTATACCCGACTGAGGGCTGATTTTTCCACCGCCAGATAAATTTTTACTGATATATAACTTTGAACAGTTGAAAATTCTTTTATAAAAAAAATACTGAATATTAAAAAATCGGCCCCGAAAGAAGAAAATAAATGCACCTAAATAAAATAACAAAGATTAACCTGATTGTTCATCGTTTTCAGGGTTAGTCCAGGAATTGAATTATACTATTATATTACCAATGAACATGAATACTTCGGCAGGAAAACCAGCGCTGAGACATCATGTTGCACATTTTTGCCCTAATCTAGATGAGGCGAGAGTTTGTATTAGAAAATGTATGAGGTATGGAGCGCCAGCATTCTGTGGCAAAGACCATATATGCTATTGCGGACATCGTTATGGCCAATTCGATGATTCAAATGAAATTAATACTACAATAGACCCAGATGAAAACCCTTATAAGGATCTCTATGACCATTATTTCGGACCAAAGTCTACATCGACAACAACACACACACCAGCAAGTACAACAACAACAACACCACCAACAACAACAACACCAACAACAACAACGGAAGACATGACGGCACGAGGTACAGATGTCGGCTCGTACAGATTTTCTAGTTTATTGTTTTTATATTATACAATCGAAAAGCCAACGAAATTGATATAGGTTGATACGGTGACCACTGTATAATTAATAATGTACAGACCATGGCAGAGGTACATTTTTATTTCTATGCTAATTCTATTAATTTGGTGTTATTACTCGAGTCACCATGAAATTTCTAGTTCGTTCAATCACCTTTATAAGAATCTATGCACTTAAATGTAAATGTTAGAATAAGCAAACATCTTTATTGTGGAGCCGATCTCTTAAAAATTGGTGAAACATTTATATAGTTATATTGAAATATTTATCCTTGCATTCCAGATATCATGGAGTGGGTTCCCACTAATATTACAAACGCTTTGGATCATAAGAAGTGTGCTGTAATAGCTGGGTATAAAGGATTTGATGGTATTCCACAAATGGTCATCAGAGCTACTATTAACAAGGCTTTGGTTCCCGGCAAACTACCTGAAAATGACAAGGCTGCTTATATAGGTTGGGATAGAAAGCAACATAAAGTGCTCGACTTCGAGGTTTGTACTTTTAACTAATCCACAAAGAACGACAATAATTTTAATATTATAGGTGTGTGTTACGTGTATTTGCTTAATACCTTAATAGATTTCTTTTATAATGTCTAAACCATAGTCTCCTTACTTTATTCACCAGCCATTTTTTTCTCATTTACAAATATTTTAATGAACTCAGGACAACATTTTGTATAAGAATGAAAAACCATTTCAATGATTCCTTAAGCCCTGCACGGGGCTAAAGGAAATGCCCAGAATCATAATGGCTCAAAACCACTCCGTTTCCTAGTCCTGCACTCCTGCAATGTGCATCGACTCTACGTGGACTCTACTATACCCCGCCTATAGTCGTCGGATGATTCTTTAACGCGTGCGAGGAATGCCCGGTGCCATACGATCAGTTATGGATGAGCCAACTTTTCTCGCTGTCTGCAGACCCACGCTTACGGTAACCAGGGGCCATCACATGAACTCCGACGCCCGTAGTGTCGAAGCGCCGCCGCCGCATAATGAGAATTGTTCCCTCCATAGCTAGCATGACTGCTTTGCAGAATGAGATGCTTACCAGTTCCCCTCACTCGCAAATGTACTGAACCAGAGACAAACGCGAGAGGTCACCGCTGCCTATCGCCTCCACATTTTGGGCAACCCTACTACTTCTTATTCCTTCCACTGAACCAGTGCCTTACATTTTTCAAGAATAGTTACGATGTATATCAAAACTGAAGCCTGTATTTCTTCTTTCCTGTGCTCCCTTGAATGGTAAAGACATACATAATAATTAATCACTAATTAAATATGACGCTTATGAGCGCTTATGAGATGGTGAGAAGATGAAACTAAAATGATTACGTATGTACATACGTACATATATTGTGATCCTTTGTTATCAGGCTATCAGGGCTTTGTCCTGCAGTGGGACGATCATGGCTGAAAATAAATAAATAAATAATATATTGTGCTCGAGATCGAGGTCAATGAAGTGGGATAAACCCTCATTAGAGATATTAAAATGATGCGTTTGACAAAAAAATAAACACTAGTGACCTTTTAGTACACCCCCTGTCTGATATTAGGTCTTATGTGATTGATGGACAACCTCTAAGATGTATGTCATATGTCTAATTTCACTAGTTCCCTCACCTATTCAAATGTTGATGTATTGGCCGGTTATTCGATCCGGGACCCTTCATTGTCCTATTTTTGGTATTCACGAGGTGTGGAGTTTAAAGATCAGTAGGTAAAAAGAAAATATAGTATTTTTCTGGATGTTGCGAAGATTTATACAAACCCCATAATTATTAACCGATAAAAATGAGTGTCTCCTCTTGACCTGTATGTATGTTTTTATGTTTGTGCGCGAATATCTCCCGATTGGCTGAACCGATTCTGATATGATTTCCAAACAACTATTTGTTACAGTTAGGAAAAGGTATTAGTATACTTATCAATCTACTTAAAACAGAGAGGTTGAAGTCGGTTTTTTTAAACTTAGTTTATAAAGAAGTCGGTAAAAAATTATAAACATACTAGCGGACCCACAGACGTTGTCCTGCATATTATTACGTATTTCAAGATATTAAGTTTTAAATAACCTTAGCATCGTCTGAAGCGCCATCTGCCGGGCTGATTTGTGAATCTAAACCATCCAGGGCGCCACTCAAAGGCATACAGAAAAATTCATTGAAATCGGTCAAGCCGTTTAGGAGGAGTTCAATGACATACACACGCACAGCAGAGTTATATATATAAAGGAGATATACAATAGATACAATTATTTCTTTCTTTCTTTTTCTTCTTTCCATCTGGTAGTTTTACCGGAAAGCTACCAAATGACTGAGCTATTTTGTATAGCCATTTGCGGTAATATGAACCGCAAATAATCTGGGCGAAATTTTGATTTGCATCATCTCGATCAGTACCCGTGAGTTCAATGAAAATTAAAAATAAATGATTTGTCACCATACTCACCATATTGGAAAATGGTGTGTAATGAGTTTTTTACCTAAACATAGATCAAGACCAAGATCTACAAAATTTCCAATTTTCAAAACTCCCGGAATACTTTCCAGGCAACCCCCGTATTTCCGCCTTAATTATCGAACTGCAATATTGATACTTTATAGATGTGCTGCGTCAGAAACAAAGAGGAAATTACTTGGAAAACAGTGAAGTTTGGAAATATACCTGAAAAAGCGGTAGTGGCTGGTTACACTGCAGATGGAGTGGATCTGTATATTGGCAGGGCTGCCGTGCGAGGGGAACTTACATCTGGAGCCGTAAGTATCTAAGATTTTTCTATAGGCGTTGTATTGTACTGTGATCGTGCTCCATTCTTGTTAAAGCCCGATGTAACCTTTATAACCGGAAAAATTTAATTCGTATTTTTTCACACAAAAAAGAGTTCCACGATTAATCACAGTTACATTTTCACGTTACTGATTTTATTCATTGGAAATTACTGAGCGTTTATCGACTCTCAGTTTCCAAAGTAGTTTTTTTATTGAACTGAATATTTTATTGGTAAATAGTGGTGGGACATGCATTATGAATGTAATACAACTAAACGAATCTAAATATAGATAGATATAAACTAAATAATAAATAACTAGGGCTAAAATAACAAAAAAAATAAAGGGGGAAAAAAGAAAAACCATCTTAAAGCATCATAAAAATATCCTCATCATTGTCATAAGATAAGGTATCCGAAAGACTGGCAGCATTGCGACTCTGGATGGCAATGCTGTAATGCAAGGAACCTTTGACCAAGATAGTAGCCAGCCTTTCGATCACCTGAAGTACCAACCAACCAATATTGTAAAGAAGATGTACATTTGGACCCCATGGCCCCTAAAGTTCCAAACCCAAGCAATTCGTCCCTGGCCCACTCGCGACTTACGTATTTACGCTTACCCTCTGAGCAGGACCACTACTCTCGTGGCTCCACTCTGGATGGCCATTTAAGGCAAGCCAGAGTTGGGAGACCTATTCCTCGTCATCGTTCACTCCAGCCAGCCAATTAAGGCAAACCGGAGAATGAAGAACGGTGACTTCTCCCTAGAGCACTCGAGATGATGATTTTAACCAAATATAGTTATATATATTTATTTAAAATTCTCATACATTTTTAAATAGTACTTACAAAAAAATAATATTTAAAAATATTAAAATAGAAGCCGACCAGTAATGGGAGCCGGTCCAAGCTGCCAGTGGTTAGGCCTGCAGAGACAGAAACCTCCTCACTGCGTGCTGTTTCAAGGAGAACTGCCTTCTGTAGGGCATATAGTCAAGCCCTTGACCCAACTGCCTAACGCCAGCCTCCTAAGGTGGTTGTCGAGGCTATTATGAATTAATCCATTGGCCGCCACGACTATCGGCTCAATGATAGCCGAATCCACATTCCACATGTCGACAACCTCGTGAGCTATCAAGATATTTTATTTGTTTATCTTTTTCGGCTTTCACGAGGTTTTCAATGGTGACTTCGATTATCATCGTGCGGCGCTCAGGTTTATGAGCTACAATAGTCCTGTCAGTGATGATATCCAGTCACAGTACAATGAGATATGTCATTTTCTAAAACTGAACAGAAATTTTAATCTATGGAAAAACATGTGAAGTGTATTTATCTAATAAAATAATCTCTTATTTCAGGTTCATTCTGTGAACAAAGTAATACATGTAGCGTCTGATGGTAAAGAAGTAATCGAAAATGCGTATGATGTACTGGTTCGTAATTTATAAATGTCATTCATGAATGTTTTACAAACATTTTTAGTGTAATTAATTAAATATAAAATCTTGGAAGCCATAAAATGTAACAACTCTTGTTTTAGCAATTTTGACAATTTTAAAAACAATAATTTTATTTCTCATAGAAATGTTTACGACTCAACCCAACCATGACCCACTCGATATACCATTGTAAATACAATAGAAGTAATTTTTAGTATAGTACGTGGCAAAAGAGCAGACTAAAGTAAATAAGACAAGAAAAAGTAGCCTAATGTAAGTGATAGAGGATTTCCTGTTTTATTGTGACCATCGATAATACCTAGTAGTACCGATGAATAAACAATGAACAAAAATAACCGTTTATAAAAACACAATCATCTATTAGTAAGTAGTTTAATATGTAGAAGTTCTGTATTAAAACTTCTACATACATATTAAACTATCTACATATTAAAATCTGTTTCCAATACATCACTTATATTGTCAGGAGATGGTTCTTATGACTGAACAAAAATCCTGACAATCCTACGGAAACGGGGAAAACTGGATTGCGCGTACAGTCCGGGCAGAAGCTAGCCACTTATATAGAAGTAGAAGTAATAGACTGGTACATTGGTATTGGCAATGGAATCTATAGAGTTCATGGCATTATCATTTCATAACATTTTTAATGAATTTGTAAAATTGCTAAAACAAAAGACGTTCAGTTTCGTGGTCTGAACTAGCACTAGCAGATTTTGCGTTAAAATTTAAAACAGGGTGGAAATAGGTTTCCACCCTGTTTTAGATATATTTCAGTATTTTGATAGATATATTTATTTATACATAAATATAGTGATAGTTTTTTTTTCTGTAATGCTACATTTCATTACTCAAAGGGTAACACCATTTTTTATTTAATATAAATAAATTACACTTGCATCAAGTACCTATTATGGCTTCGTATGTTTTATTATAGTTAAACTTATACATATACTCCCATAGCCAATTTTATGAAATGCAACTAGATAGTAGAAATGAAGTAAGTAGGGTGTTCCTTGTCTACAGATAATATTAGATATTAAGTATTCTATGATTTCAGCAAAATAATAAGTCTGTGGACCATAGACAAGACTTCATTTTTAATTTTTTTGCTTTTATTTTATTTTATTTTTATTTTTTAATTATGTTATGGGTGTTCTGCGCAAAAATAAATGCTTTTTCTTTCTTCTTCTTCTTTTTTCTAAATATGTTAAAACAATTATTTGATTTAAGTATTAGAACTATAAAAAATTATACACTTTAACTTAGGAAAATTAGGGTTGCCCTTGGCATGTGTGATAATCGGCTAAAATTTGTACAGAACCTTTATTTTGACAACTTATTTGTCTCAAATCTACATGTTGTTGGTCGTTTGCGACTATAGAAAAGAGTGGACTGGAGGAGTAAAGTATGATGTACTGTCAAAGGTCAAAAGTCCACTGCCACCGTGAGTGATGTTTACACGGCAATGCGTAAGTAATTTCATATTAAACTGTCAAACACCAAGCAGTCACCGGTGACCGCGACCTATTGTTCTTTAATTGTGTCTATAAAACCGGTACTCGACGAGTTAATGCGCAATAAAACGCGTGTGTACGCATAAGCACGCGCACGCGTACGCACACGGATAAAAATGTACGTGTGCATGTGTGTATAAGCGCTGCAGCACAACCGATAGTAGTCTTACGGTGGCAGTAGACTTTTGACATTTGACCGACATAAGACATGAAGCGAAAACCCAGAATCAATTAAAATAATTTAAGTGTGTAATAACCGTTTGGTTTGTTTATTTTAACTGGCTGGTCTATTTCTCGGTCAGAAGTGAAGCATTGCCATACAATGTGGCCATTCTGTCAGCCTTCTGGGTACTTTCCCCGTAAAAAATTCATTCGTATCGACTATAGTACATCAATACGGATGAATTTTTTGATGCTCTCTGTAAATAGTCATTTTTAGTTCTCTTTTAATTAGTTTTAGTTAATTTTAAGTTGTACATATTTATTTAATTTTATTCCTTATTTTTATATATAACGTGAATAAGTACCATCGTATATAATTCTCATAATTATTCAATAGATGGCATGAATATCAATATTGAATTTTCATTAAATGAATATAATAAACATTATTACATTGTTTCCTTTTCCATTTCCTTCTACGTTTTTAGTCAAAAGCCTGCAGACACACTTAATTTTAGCCGATTAGTATTAAGTTTACGTTCACACCCACTTTTAAAATACGTATGTCTTATACACAAGATGATATTTATTAGAGCACAATTTTGTATGGGCTTATAGAACACATTTTATGTCTAACATTTTTGTCGAACGTAAAAAGTGGGGTTATAAAAAATATAAAACACATCCCAGATTATGAATTTAATATGTTTATTTCATCTTTGTATATTTGTGTCACATGAACCATGAACTTGTAAACTTTTCTTTCATAATCCAGGCAGATAAATAGTTGTACATGTTTAAATGCATTCTCTACCGATAGGTACTTCGGTATGTTTTTGCTGAATTAATGTATAAATCATTGTTTAAAAACATTAGGCCCTCTTGCAGCAACATACTCTTTGACTCCCGGTAGACTTTTATCTTTTTAATTAAAGCTTCGACCCTTGGGTATTTCTTATCCAATTCCGTGTCCAAGAAGTAGTTGCTTGCCTCTACTAGGCCGCATAGGACAAACTCCACCCAGGATAACTGTAAATAAAAAAAAGAAATTAATATTAACTTCATACATTGCACTTTTTTGTTTCATGCAGAGTGCTCAGTCCAAATATAACAAAAAGGTTTCTAAGTCGGAAATCCTAAAAAATAGTTTTATCTGTTTTTATTCTGTCTGAAGATCAAGCCGACACTCGCTCTTAGGCTTGTCTGCGACTAACGGACCAATTGATTCTTATAGCATTGGCATATACAGCCACTGGACTATTAAACTTATGTAGAAAACAATAAGATTTAAAATTTATTACAAAAATTGGGAGATTGGTAGATGCTCATATACTAGCATTTAAATCGTCTTTGCGAGTGTGGTCGTGGTGGCCTGGAGGTTTAAGACGCCCGCTTCTCATGCAGCGCGCAGGTTCGAAACCTTCCAACGACAAACGTACTAATGTGATTTTTCCGAACTATATGTACTTTCTAAGTTTATTTAGACACCACTGACAAACGCTTGCTCGCAGGCAGAATACAATGACTTTGAGGCTGTAAGATCTTCCTTTGTAAATATGTATTCTTGCAAATAAATGAATTTGAAATTTGAATTTGAACGGTGAAGGAAAACATCGTGAGGAAACCTGGGCTCATTATTTCTAATCATTATTTCTAGTTTGAAATCGTCAATCCTCATTGAACAAACGTAGTGAGCATTTGGCTCAAACCTTCTCCGTGTGAGAAGAGGCTTTGCTCAGCAGTGGGCATTGATGATGAATTATCGTGGCAGATTCTCAATAAACAAAATTATATCCAGTCAAAATATTACCTTTCCACTAAAGTAGCCACCGTTTTCCTTCAGATCTTTGTCAAGTCTTGAGAAGAAAAAGTCTATAGTTTCGTCCAAGAGTTCACGCTTCAATTCTTTCTTTTTTTCAGGGTCTTTTTCTCTAATGAAAGTCACAACCTCTGTAAAATAAATACAATATTATATTCTTCTTTCTATCTACACTGTAATTCGTTGTTTTTATAAAAACTACCGTGAGACATACTAAATTAATTAAAAATCGCGGGTTACTCACGTGAATTTACTGAGAAAAGCTCTACTAGTTTTGAACCACAGTGGGGTTCTTCCTCATGAGCAGCGTGCGAGCAGCGTGCGCTGCTATTCACGTGAGTGACCCGCGATTTTTAGTTAACTAGGTATAATTCTTCTTTTTTATTTGCAACCGAGTCTCCAATACAGTGTTGTCGACTATACTGCCAGTGTTATATTACATTCATGGTCATGGCTTCTCATAAACAAATCAATTGATTAATTTACTGCAATGTCAACTTCAATTGACTGACAAATATTTTTATTAGTAACTTTTATTGATATTAGGTGGTCCAATGTTACATTACGCAATATAGACGAAAATTATTGTTCAAAGAGAAAAAGAGTAAGGAATACCTAATAGTTCTACAATTTGTCATAGTTATAATGTACAAATATAAATTAAAGTAATCTAAGTGTTTATTATAAATTTCTTGCTCAATCTTTCGAATCTACATTTTGGAACGAGCTTCACTGATGGACAAACTGAACGACTATTATTTCTTTTGTATTTGTTGACGTTTCAAAAGTATTAAATTATGGTTTAATTGAAATAAATGCTTTGACTTTGACTTAAGTACGAGCAGAAGCAGTTTGATTTCAGGCCTAACAAAAAAGCCAAAGATAATAGATTTGGGTATGAAAATTAAAAATCTAATTAGTCCGAAGTTAGGTAATGAAAAAATATTAGACACGTATTTTATTTTGTCGTATAATAAAACAGTACTTAGATAAAACGAAACAAAGTTTAGGAGTGACGTCACATTTCAAATCAATAATTATCGTCGAAAGTATTCGTTACTGTAAGAATATAAAAAATATGTGCCTTATGATTTAAAATAATATACCAGATGGACATTAACACGTTAAACGCCATGGGGGTCAGCGGTGACCGGCGTCAGCGGGGGATTTACCTTCAACAGTTTTTTATTAGCAGCCAAAATCTTAAAATAAAAATTAGGCATCTACCCTATTTCAGAAGGCGATTTATTTGATGATTTGAAGATTAAGACTTAGAATACTTACTTGACCAATAATCGTAGATTGTGTATACAGCTGCATCCAACACAGCTTGCGTCCATGGATCTGACGGAATGAGATCTGTGCCTCTAGCCACATACTTTGCGATAGCCAGTGATTGGGTCAGCAAACGATCTCCTTCCTCATAAAGAGGAAATTGTCCGAAGGGTAATTCTGTAAATTGAAACATAACAACATAACATAACATCACGCCTTTTATCCCCGAAGGGGTAGGCAGAGGTGCACACAGAAGTAACACCCACTTTTTATGTAAATATTACTGTAACTATTTATGTAAATTCAATCATATTTCCTATATTTTTACATACTTCACAACAGTTTATAAAATACATATCTAAAAATACATTAAAACAAGATTAGGTAAATTATCACTACATAGTATAAAACAAAGTCACTATCCGCTGTCTGTCTGTCCCTATGTATGCTTAGATCTTTAAAACTACGCAACGGATTTTGATGCGGTTTTTTAATAGATAGAGTGATTCTTAAGGATGGTTTATATGTATAATAAAAGTATATTGCACTCGTGCGAAGCTGGCGCGGGTCGCTAGTTCAATAATAAATTTGTAACAAGTTCGTTAAATTGCAATACACAGATATACTTTATTCACAGTTCATTTTATGAAACAACCAACTACTATAACTCTGCCATACTTGACAGAAAAGAACTATCCATAAGTCGTCACACAGTGTAACGGTACGGCCACAGCACGACTTCGGCACGACGATATTGTCTTTGGAAAAGCCAACGGTGAAATATATCATACGACATACGACACAGTGTTCAAATTTAAATAACAAGTTAATAGCTGGGTTGATGCAATACCGTCAGTGCTTTTTTGACTGCTCGGTTGGCGTGGTGGTTGGGCAATAGACTGCCGCGTAACGGGTTGCGGGTTCGATTCCCGCACGGAACAACCCTTTGTGTGATCCACAGATCGTTGTTCCGGGTCTGGGTGCCATATGTATGTGAACTTGTATGTTTCTAAACGCACCCACGGCGCTGGAGATAAACCTAGTGTGGGGCAACATTAAAAAAAAATGCTTCGGCACGAATGGGCTGGCTCGACCGGAGTGATACCACGGCCTCACAGAAAACCGACGTGAAGCAACGCTTGCGTTGTGTTTCGTCGAGTGCGTGAGGTTACCGGCGGCCCAATTACCCTCCCCTTTTCCAATCTCCCCAATCCCTGAATCACCAACGATCCTCAAACTCCTAATCCCCAAAAAGCCGGTAACGCACTTGTAACGCCTCTGGTGTTCCTGGTGTCCATGAGCGATGCCGATTGCTTACCATCAGGTGATCCGTCTTCTCGTTTAACGGCTTATGCCATAAAAAAAAACTAATAAAATAATATACCACTGCCAAATAATAATGTTTTAGGTAATAAAATAATACATTTTAAGTACTCACTCTCTTTAAACTCTGCGTTTGGCCAAAATCTATGATCGTGCCTGACATCCTCAAACTCTTGCTTAGTGTAATGAAGAATATACCTTATAGGCTCAGCTATAGCGATAAAATTAAAATAATGCAGTTTTTTTGCCATTGTGGACTAGTAACACGAAATATTGTTCTCGACTGATTTAACGATTAGAGTGTACTGAGCCAAATGTATGTGTCACTTATATAAGTAAACATACAAGTAATATGTATATGATAAACTTTTATATAAATATTACAAAAAGATATATTAACAAGACTTAGGCCCACGGTTCCATTCATATGATTTATTTATTGATTGTATTTATTTAAATATATCATAAGCATAGATAAACATAAATGCATACTACGAATCATTATATATAGATACATATATGAATCTATATCTAAAATATATGATTTACCTATGTACATTCTTCTTTTTTTGTCTTAAATCTTAAAATTAGAAAATCGTACGTTTAGATTTTTTAAATTACGTAATAATAGCAAGATTTTTAAAAGTAATATTATTTTTTAAATTATTTATGTAAGAAACAAATAGACTAAACTTACTCTATCTGCAGTGAAAATATAGAATAAAAAAATCTTTATTATTCACCTTTATACAGTACACACGTAAAAAAAAATAACAAACATAAATAAAAAAAGAAATAAGAATAATTAAGAATAAGAATAATTAAGAATAAGAATAATTTATTGAAATAAACATTTACAAAAAATGGACATTAAACCAACAGTAGTGGGGTTTCCTATTGCAATAAAGATACAACACAGTGATTAAGAATATACTAAAATTAAAATATCAATAAAGGTATATTATTGACAGTGATTCGGAAAATTCCATTATTTAATAGTGGACCGCCGATCTAGTTTAATTTAAACCTATATTTCAGGCCATCACTTATGCACAAAGGCGGTAATAACACTGATAGTGATTTTTACCAAACGTTTTGGTTGACAAAATGCAATAGAAGAAGAGAGCCGAGAAACCAAACAGAGCGGGTGAAACCGCGCGAAAGTGGCTATAATAATGATGAATATATGGTTGATTTAATATGTCAATAATTTAGGGCACGCCGTAATAGCGACGGTAAGTCCACTCAGATGGAGGCGTGAATTGACAGAGGGCATAGTACCCCAAGCTTCCGGTTGACACAGGTCCTATCCGGACACGGTTGCTTCGGGAAGTACTTGTGTCGTATAGGCCGGGAGCTGACACCGGCGTGTATTTGGAGGATACGGGGCAGCTTAGCCTCGATGAGTGTTAGTGTTCTACATGGGCAGAGTTGCGTCATGCAGTGCTCGGTGGGAATAATATCTCATTGCAGACCGTAATGCGTTTTAGCAAAAGAGGCGGCTGAAAGGGAGTGGGAGGAGTCCAGCTCTCTCCCTTCTCCCCGTAGACGCGCCGGCCATCAACGCCACAGCTGGTAGCTGATCTGCAACCTCCATATGAGAGATCTGCGGGCGACTGATTAGGGCAGTCAGTCGTCCGCTGTATGGGCGGGAGTAGGCGTTAGCGTTGTATTCCATGCGCCACTCGAGGAAGGAAATCTCAGCTTCTGAGGGCTGCTACGTGGGATCTGCCGCAATATAGCGGTAGATCGAGGCCTGCCGGGTCCGGTAAATCCGCAAGGGCATCTCGGGTCATGGCCACAGGCAGAGGATGAACACCACGGTGATTTTAGCCGGTAAGAGTCCGGCACACACCCCGTTGTCCTCACGGCGTGGGAAGGAGGTTTAAAAAAGGTGTCAATATATTACCAATTTCTTTTATTTTTTTATGGAATAGGAGGCGAACGGATAACCTAAGTAATCAGCGTCACCCATCATTCAGCCTAACCCTTTATATTATTAAAATCTTAGCTTTATTTTACAAACAGACTTAGGAACGTTTTAATTTTATACATATAGGTAAATATTTATTTATCGGTCTTTCAACCTTCAACAACATTGGGAGTCGTCTTATCGCTCGATAACAATTATATATTTTAATAAATCATGCAGTACAGTATTTTGTTACTGATTTAAAAACAATATTTATTGTCAGACATGAGATAACAGTTTCTATACTATCAGGCTTCTTCAGAGTGGCCCGTGATCGGAATATGGTAGTTATTTTAAAACAACATAACATCACGCCTTTTAGCCCCGAAGGGGTAAGCAGAGGTGTATAATACGGCACTTAATGCCACTATACAATGTAACACCTACTTTAACTACTTATGTTATGAGTCCTATGTAATAGGGGCTGAACCTATTGCCATATAACGAATACAATTCTAGACTCCCTGCTACAACTGAGAATTTTTAAGAAAAACCAAAGTTATATTTTGCCCGGCCCAGGAATAGAACCCGAGACCCCTTGCCCGGCAGTCGCACTTGCGACTACTCGGCCAACAAAGCAGTTATTTTAAAACAGTAGACAACATATTTTGTTTTCTTACAGAAACAAATATACTTTCGACGATATCTTGAGTTAAAATATCACGTGACTTCATTTCTAAGTATAAATTGTACTTAGAAATGACGTACTCTCCACTCCCCACTCCCACACTATGATTCGTTTTATCTAATGTTTTCTTATACGACAAAATAAAAATATACCTGTCTAATAGATATTTAATTACTATTATGTAATATATATGTATAGCTATATTATTTAATATTTACCTTTTTTTCTCTCTCTCTATGCTGTTAGTTTATTCTACGTACCTTATTTTTCGCAGATTTTCTATTTATACCCTAAGGTTGATTGGTAGAGAATGCCATATGGCATTAAGTTCGCCTTATGTACCATAATAAAATTTTGTACATAAAAGAATAAATAAATAAAAATATTTATTTTCATACTGTCACCGTCCGTAATAAAAAAAAGTAAACCTACATAAGTATATGTGTTTTTCTAAACTTTCATTAATGCATCAAGTAAAAGTATAAAGCAAACAATTGAGTCATTTTCCCGTAGAAATGATATCGTCTCTAAGTGCTCCCCGGATTTTCAAGGAAAAATGCTTGATAAATCTTAGCATTCAACGACTAGTTTATACTGTTTGTTAATATTTGTTATGGGATAAACCAGTAAACGACCAGACGGATCACCTGATGGTAAGCAATCGGCGTCACCCACGGACACCTGGAACACCAGAAGTGTTACAAGTGCGTTACCGGCCTTTTGAGGATTAGGAATATGAGGATTGTTTGTTAGGGATTCAAGGATTTAAGGAAGAGAAGGGGATTGGGCCTCCTGTAACCTCATTCACAAGACGAAACTCAACGCAAGCGTTTTTTCACGTCGATTTTCTGTGAGGCCGTGGTATGACTCCGGTTGACCCGGACCATTAGTGCCGAAGCATGACTCTCCCACACTAGTTATTTAACAACTTATAATTGTCATAATCTTATCTCAACAGTCGTATTATACATGTTGTATAAATATACTTACTCACCCCCTATGACTTATCACGGTAATATTACACAATGACAGTAGGTTTATCGAATAGGTGACTTGCGTTTATTCCGCACATTACATTGATCGCGATGACAATGATTTTACTTCGACTTGTGTATAATCACTGTATTTGATTGACTCAAAATAATATATACTGTAATTTTTAACCGACTTCAAAAAAAGGAGGAGGTTCTCAATTCGACCGTATATATGCTTTTTTTGTCAAGTGGTCGAGTGTGGTACACACATATCTTGAAGTTCCACGAAGTATTATCGTGGTTACAGTTTAAAAATCGTTTTATTTTATGTTCTACGTGTATTGAATATACCTTTATATAATTTGTATGCCGTAATGGCTAAACATGAATGTACTTATTGTATGTAATACTTACCTGTATATTGAACAAATGAAACGATTTTGTCTTTATCTTTACAGTGTTGCTATGTAGTCTACTAGCAGCAGTTTGAGCTGTTGTTTGTTGTTTTTGGTTGTGTATTTGGCTGTATTTTTGATTACTATAGAGTAAAACTGTATTCCTACTCTAATATCATAATGAGTTAATAATCTAATGTTAGAAACAGTTAAACAAAAAAATATACCAGGTCAAAAAACATAGCTAAAAAATAATTAAAATACTGACATCAGTTTTCATATTTTATTCTCCTTGAACGTAGATACAATTCGTATAGTATTTATATATAATGACACTTCATTTCTTGTACTTAAATCTAGCGAGGTCAATGGTGTAGGGCCCTATAGACTTGACATACTCCTTCACTCCTGGTAAATTCCTGATGTGTTGCACCAAAGTACCAACAGCTGGATAATCCTTGCTTAATTCGATGCCCAGAAACATGTCGCTGGCTTCAATCACCCCACAGAATACGAAGTCACCCCAGGAGAGCTGAAATATTAAGAACACATTCAATTAGAGTCATTACGTGTACGGGGCGAAGCTGGATGCAGGTTTTTTTCTTTTTCGATATTTTTTTTTATTGATAATTATAATAATATATTTATTTATTTATTCAAAAAGTGGTTACAGTTTACTGTTTCAGATTACTACATACTTATGACAGTTATCCTACAACTAACAGAACGAGGCGAACTAGGCTTGAGCCTGTATCTTGGCACATCGGCTCTTTGGCTGGATTTTGGCGTTACATTGCTCTCACACAATCGAACCAATAAAACTGTAAAAATGTAACTAGAGAATTGTATTGTAAACCTTATTGAAAAAGAATAACCGATGGAGTTTCTTGCTCGTTTTTCTACATAAGAATCTACACCTTGGCATGAGCACATAACTTCACTTTTGATTTGTTTGTTGATGTTCAAAAGTGCCTTTCTGGTCTAATTCAATTATAAATGATTTTGACTTGACTTTGACTTTGATGCAGGTTGTTGCTCGAGTACTATGTTTAGCAGTGACCATTTTATGGCTGAAATGATGATGACGAAGGACAATAGCGATGTGCACTACTTCATTTTAGTATTTGCGAAGTATCAGCTTATACTACAGTTAATAATTATTATTTCATCATTTTCGGTCGGTGAGCCACTCGTATAAATGTACAGTATGATATCTCAGGTCTAATCCAGGACGAAGTAATATATGGATTTTGTGATTGTCGCAACAGTCTTACAAATTTAAGCATGGGAGAGCCATGCTTTGGCACAAATGGGCCGGCTCGATCGGAGTGATACCACGGCCTCACAGAAAACCGTAATACAACAACGCTTGCGTTATGTTTCATTGTGTGAGTGAGCGAGGTTCCCCAATCTTCCTTATTCCTAAAAACCCAACAATCCTCAAATTCCTAATCCCCAAAAGGCCGGTAATGCATTTCTAACGCCTCTGGTGTTCCAAGTGTCCATGGGCGACGCCGATTGCTTATCATCATGATCCGCTGCATACCGGCTTATCCCATAAAAAAATATTCTGTATTACAGATGTGTATGATGTAGATATTCCTCTACTAATCATTATATAGGTAAAACCTTGTAACAATATTGTTTGATGTAGTTAAAATTGTTCGGGTAGATATAATTGTCGTCGCCCTCAATCTGAATTGATGCTATAGGTTGATAATGATAAAAACATTACATATCGCACCTTTAAATTTAAACCGTTATTAAACAATTTTTTTATGAATTGTATAGTACATGAAATAACTATTTAAACATCCAAAAATAAATAATTAGATGGCATCAGCTCAATTTGTAAAAATTTTCATTTAGTAACAGTTTTACTTAAAAGATACGATATACATATATAATTCTATAAAATGTGGGAGAGCCATGCTTCGGCACGAATGGGCCGGCTCGACCGGAGTGATACCACGGCCTCACAGAAACCGACGTGAAGCAACGCTTGCGTTGTGTTTCGTTGTGTGAGTGAGGTTACCGGAGGCCCAATCATTCCCCTTCCCCAATCTCCCTAATTCTGATTCCCCAACCATCCTCAAACTCCTAATCCCCAAAAGGCCGGTGACACACTTGTAACGCCTCTAGTGTTCCAGGTGTCCATGGGCGATACCGATTGCTTACATCAGGTGATCCGTCTGCTCATTTACCGACATATGACATAAAATATATATAACTTGCCTTGCCATTCAAAAATCCACCATTATCTTCTAAATGTTTGTTAAATCTTGAAAAGTAGTATGGAATATTTTTTTCGATTATTTCATTTCTTAATTCTGTGTATTTTGCTGGATCGGGTTCTCTCACCGTAGGCACGACATCTAAAACATAAAGGTTGATATTGTTAGTTATCACTTAGTGAACTTCAACTAGTTTACATTCTCATAATATTGAATATAAATTTGATTATTTACAAATCCCCTCAAAAAATCATTATTGACCCTGACGATCGATGCAATAAAAGTACAGGGTGCACCTTTTACAGATTTTAGTCGGTTCGATTACCGTGTGCGACAAGCGAATTTTTAAAAATCTTCGAATGCCGTTTTTTTTTCATTTCGAAAATAAAGAATGTTTTCTTTGAGTACAATTTTCTATCTAAAGTATTAAGAGTACTTTCCCTTCAGGTGGCATTAGAAAATTTCACCCTGTATATTTATTTAGTAAAACATGAGTAATTAAAATGAAAGTATTTTTGGTTAAATGGTTAATTAATCTACATATTTTGCCATAAATGGCGTACTAAATCAATCACTTTGGCAGACAATACCAAAATCTACAATCGTGTGAATGAAAAAATAATAATTATAATGTAAATGAATAACATAAAAACTTTGTAAACTGTAAAGTTACGTACATAATGTAACTGTAATCGATTGTAACATGTAATCAGATGAAAATGTGTTGTTTAATATACTTATGTATACAATTGTTGGTGGGCAAAGATAAAATAAAAAAAATAAAAATATGTACATGAACATATTATTATCATAGCTTTGATAATAATCATCACCACAAATCGGTCTCGAGTTGCTACATCAGATAGGGAATCTAAACCACAAAAGATAATAAATTATTTTGTACGATAATAAAGCCAAAATAAAATTAAGTATTCAGTGATAATATACTATAATCAAAGCTGAAAACAGATGGATTTATTAAGGTAATGTTATAAATATTTTTTAGAAACGATCAGGTGCCGTAGTGAGCACCTCTTAGTTAAAAGGCGTGATGTTATGCTATTATGTATATAAAAAAAACCCCAAAGACAATACGCAAATAGTCCTTATTTACAAACAAATAAAACTCACTTTTCCAGTAATCCATGATGGAGAATATGACACTTTCTATGAAAGCATTATCCCAAGGGTCAGTCGGTACTAGATCTGTTCCTCTTGCCACATACTTGGTGATGGCCAGGCTTTGGTAAGAACACGGCCATCTTCTTCGTAAACTGGGAACTGGCCATAGGGAAGACCTGAAATGAAGGGTAAAGGATCTTCATCATCTTTACTATCACCATCATTAGTTTAGACTGGAATAACCCAGTGCTACTAGTAAATAAATACGTCCATCCCGAAAATTAGATTTTTTTTATCGTCAACATGACTGTCATGGCGGCCTGGAGGTTTAAGACACCCATTTCATCCAAGATGGTGCGTTTACCAAACTTACCAACGGCAAGTAACAATGTGACTTTTCTGAGTTATATGTACTTTTTAAGATTATTCAAATACTACTGACGAACATGGGACTTATAGTTTCTAATTATGAGTTTGAAATCGCTAACTCGCATTGAGCAAGCGTGGTGAATAATGCACAAACCTTCTCCGTGCGAGAAAAGGCCTTTGGTCAGCAGTGGGCACATATAGGCTGTTGATGTATAATATCAACATCAGATTTTTAACCTAACTTTATATACTATATGACAAACTGACGGCTTCTTATGCCAAGCAGATTGTAAATTGTAACTTTTTTTAATGATAATGCATAGTTACATCTTTCGCGGCTTAATGTCCAAACTAAAAATATTAATTCGGTTTTTAATTTGAAATAAAAACGAAGCAAACCTGCAAATAGGGTACTTTTCTTAATCAAAAATAAATTATTTCGACTGTTCAGTACAATAAGATATTAAAAAATAATCACACTTTCATTAATTGATTTTATGACCAACTAGCTACGATTACTAACTAGTATTTTTCTCTCAGTCGTTTTTCATCAGTCTGACACTTCAAATACGTGACGTCACAATACACATTCTCATAGAAAACAATCGTTTTTGACAGTTCGAAAAAAATTTTGATTTTGGCTAGTTGGCACGTAGGTACCCAATTGTTAAAGATATCATTATTATATAGATAAAACTCCTAATCATAAATTAAACAAAGATTTATTATCAAAGAGCAGGAAGGTATTATGGTTTTAGTCAACTTTTATAAACAAATATTTAAAAAAATACTTACTTGCTTTAATTTTGGGGTCTGGCCAACTGTACACATCGTATCTAACATCCTCAAACTCTTGGTTGGTGTAATGAAGAATGTACCTTATGGGTTCGGCTAGACCGTTCAAATTGAAGTACGATAATTTTTTAGGCATTTTGACCTTGAATAATGAACGCCGTGCTTGTGTCAATTGCGGTAGTCACTGCTAGACTGGTGTTTGCTTCAAAAATTGTGTATATTTATATTATTATCAACAGATGACGGAGCACAATTTTAAAATATTTGTAGTATAACATTTTCCGGTTCATTTTTGTGATCATCATGTCCACACTATTCTTGGTTTTGATTCGTGTGAAAAAACCTCCAATTCAGTGTGTGTTATATGGATTTTTATTAACACATCTACTTAACGGTAATTTGATAAGTAAAAAAATTATAAAGAAACTGCTAGATTTTTAACTTAAAATTTTGATAAGTATTAATATAAATGATTTCGAATTTTAAAAAGTAGAAATGCACGAAGCTTATAAATTATAGGCACCATATTTTAACCATTTTTTGTAAATATAGAATTGCTTACACTGTTTGACTGCCTTGTTGGCCGAGTGGTCGCAAGTGCGACTGCTGGGCAAGGGGTCTCGGCTTCGATTCCCGGGTCGAGCAATGTATTACTGGGACTTTTTTTTTATTCTCAGTAGTACGGAGGCTGGAATTGTGTCCAGTATATGGCAATAGGCTCACCCCCTGGGCCCTGGTACATGGGACTCATAGTGTCGTAATGTGTACCTCTGCATACTGCATACCCCTTCGGGGATAAAATACGTATGTGTAAATGTGTTCAAAAATAAACTTTGCTGGCTTTTTTTACTTTACTTTTATCAAGGTTTCACGTTGAGGATAAAAAGTATTAATAATGTAGATCAATATATTTTTGTAGACACAATATTATCGTTATTGAGAAAAACAATGCTGACATTGACATTACATTGTTTTTTATATAAACAAGGCTAGGTTTATGACCTATGTTTATTAAACTAGTTATAAGATCCGACTTTTGGTAAGTATTAAAGCTAAGTGAAGCGATTTTTTATGTTCTAGTAGATGAATAAAAATATTGAGCATGCTTTTCGGTAATAGTTTCTCATGACGTCACTTCTGTCTTAATTTAAATCTTCTTTTACATTACTTATTTAAGCAGCAGTTTATCAAAAAAATGCCATTATATTTTGTTACCCAGTGCCATTTTAAAAAAAAAAGTAAAAGTCATTCCAGATTATGAATCAACTGTACAATTAATTAATTAGAGTTTTATTTACTAATTTCCTATTGGAATTTGGTAAAACTTTATGAAGTTTTGTAATAATTATTGCAGTGTAGATTACGATAAACAGACATACAAACACAGTTAGAGTTACGATATAATAATATGTATGATAGCGATATCTTTGTAAAGTCTCAATGCTGATGAAAGTGTAAACAATTTAAAATTAACAAATTTAATTATGCAGTTCACGGCGTAGTAATATATACTAGCTTTTCCCCACGGTTTTGTACGTACGTATTTTGAGACATGCTCTCATAGTGGTCCCTTATAGTTTCTGTGAAGTATGTTTTAGTTACGCCTTGTCTAATAATCGAGTAACAAGGACAAAGACAGACATGGGCAAAAGTTGGTATACCATAGATAAGAAGCCCAATATCCTAGATCGTTGCAGTTGTCAAAATTATACATCATGGTTAGAAATGACTATGGTCTATGGACATGACGGTCTACATCCTTGTAAGCAGTGGTAGGTGTCGCGGAGAACCGAACGGGTAACCGGGGCCCGGATCGAAGTGCAGGAGAAGGAACGGGGTGGTTTTTAGTCAGTAAGAGACTGACACTGCCTCCCGCCTCACCCAGGTGGGAGAAGTCATTCGATGATTTTCCCCCTTAAAAAAAGCAGTGGTAGGTAAGTAAATTAGAATTAAACTTTATTTATAGGTACAATTATATTAGTCTTACTTTCATCCACTGCAAATAATAAATTGGTGTTTTAATTTATTTATCTCCAGAATTTCAATCAAGTAAAGGTTAAGCGATTTTATTTGTAAAGGTTAATTTGATAAATGAATGTATAAAAGCGAAAGTGCTTTCTTTCTTCATCACTTCGTCAGTTTCCATTGTTGTTGGCGCTATGGCTCCCGTTTACCAATTGAAGTTTTTTAATTTTATGGGCGTTGCTGAGCCCATTAGATACTTGTTTGCCTATGGAGGTATCAGCTACAAGAATGTCGAAGTCAACAAGGATTCAGACTGGCCTGATGTACAGAAATGTAAGTTTTTATTTCCATTATCTCATTTTCTATCTTACTAAGTATGTAGGGGTAAAAGGGGTAAGTTTTATTTTAATTGGATAAGCTGGTAAACGAGCAGACGGAACATCTGATGGTAAGGATTCGGTGTCGCTATTGGACACCTGGAATATCAGCGTTACAGATGCGTTACCGGCCTTTTGGGGATTAGGAATTTAATGAATCTTGGGATTCAGGGATTAAGGAGAGAGAGGGGTAAATCCCGTTGTGTTGTTCAGTCATGATACACAATGGGATTAACTTTTGGGAGTAACTTCAAGTTACCAAGTAAAGTAGTCTCAAATGCAACTTCGTGTTTTGATGGTTGTATCTACTGTAGATCCTGGCTTACAGGAGTTGCACGGTTTTGGGAAGTTGTGGCGGGGTTGTCCCAAAAAAAGTAGAAACCGACCAAAGTGTTTTTAATATCCAGTATTCGCAGGGCTTCGGCTCGAAGCAGAAGTAGAACCGGTGTGGTTTTTAGTTAGTAGGAGTCTGATACTCTCGCCTCACCCAAGGCGGGAGAAGTCACTTGATGATTAATCCCTCAAAAAGAAAATAATAACAGAGTCTATAATTGTGCCCTGCCCAAGGTGTAGCAAAAGGTTTAACTCTCATTATATAAAACACAACATTATCTACCTTTACGAAGCCCCGCGTAGTATTAAACTATAACAAAACATAACAGCACGCCTTTTATCCCCGAAGGGGTAGGCAGAGGTGCACATTACGGCACTTAATGCCACTGTGCAATGTAACACCCACTTTTTTCACTATTTATGTCATGAGTCCAATGTAATAGGGGGTGAGCCTGTTGCAATATACCGGGCACAATTCCAGACTCCATGATACTACTGAGAATTTTTAAAAACCCATTAATACTTTGCCCGATCCTGGAATCGAACCCGAGACCCTTTGCCCGGCAGTCGCACTTGCGACCACTCGGCCAACGAGTTCATCATCATTCATTCTTTTCCAGCTGTACCCTTTGGCAAGCTGCCAGTTCTGGAGGTAGATAAGAAGGTGCTCTACCAGTCTGTGGCTATCAGTCGCTACCTTGGAAAGTTAGTGGGTTTGGTACCCGCTGATGACTTGGATGCAGCGGAACTAGATGCTATTGCGTTGTCCGTCTACGATTTTGGCGCAAGTAAGTACCTACATGCATGTTTAGTGGCAGATATGTTTTTTTTATATTACCCAAATTTTTATCACCTGTGGTTTTGAGTCCTATATTCCTAGCTGATATAGTATCAAAATGAAACCATTCCAAACGATAAAAAGTATGTTGTGTAATTTATAGGTACACACGGCCACGCATCAATCTATACAAAACCAGTTTATCCTGGTGTCGCGTCGCATCATCTTTTTGCACATTTAACGTTCCGTTTATACTGGTTATGTAAAGCTGAAAGTGTAGCCGTGTGTACAAAAAAAATGGATTGGATATTTTTGTCATTCAAATAATGATAGATTTTGGCCATCGATTTATAAATCCCAGCTTTTTGCAACTAGTTTGAAATCGGAACAAATTATAAATATCAGAGTGAATCCTATTTTCGAGGGCAAATAGCAGAGAGTGAAATTGCAGAGGTGCAATCCGCTACGAATAATTCCACATTCTTCGTTGATCCGTTGCCAGATTTTTGAGGCGTTTAACAAGTCTTCATAGCTATATCAAACGAACCTAAATGTATTATATTTATGTATTGACAAAACACAGAGATTTCAATTCTCATTCTCACATTTTACAGAGGTCCACGAATGGTACCACGAGAGCCAGAAAGAAAGGAAAGAATACTTGCAAGCGGAATTAGAGGACATTTGGCTATCCAAATATCTTCGCGAATTTGAAGATATTGTTCAGAAGAAAGGAAGCTATTTTGGTGGCCAGGTTAGTAACTATCGGAATTTATGATGTGGTGTTATTTGGATAATGCCTGTTACATTTACGAAAAGAATCAACGCATTTTTTTCTTTCTATGAAACTTAGTAGAAACATAATGATAATAAAAGTGACATACACAAACAAGCCCCGGCTTTTGAACTAAATCTATATCTCAGTAATTTTGTTTTTAAGTCGATAACAGAAAATCGCGGGTTTTATTTTTTTTTCCTATTTTTTAATGGGATACTCTAAAAAATAGTCTTTCACTTCAAGTACTCAAAAACTATTCTGCTTTTCAGAAAATAAGCTGGGCTGACTTATACTTCGTGGGCATCATCGAGTCCATTGAAGGCATGTGGGGTTCCAAGATCTTGGAGAAGCAGTATCCATTGCTGTACAGGATCTACGTCCATGTCCACGAGATCCCTGCCATCGACACCTACGTCAGTAACAGACCTCACTACAAATATTGAAATTAATATTTCCACACTCGAATAAATATATAATGTACTGAATTTATAAAACTGTGTTTTAATACCATATGATTTAAGTTTTAAGTGATTTCCTCTCTATACAGATAATTAAAATTGGAATGTCAGTTTATAATATTAACATAACCGATTTTTACTACATGCATATGAATATTATACATACGATACATATACCAAAATATTATTTTGTACGAGTTTTGTCTGTCTATCTGTTTGTATTGGTTAATTTGCTGATATGCTATGGAATAAATTAAGCATACTTTTATTTTGGAAAATTGAAACAAAATAAAATTATGTTCTAAAATTCATATTCTACGCAGATGAAGTCGCGGGTAACAGCTATTTAGATATATATTATCATCACGTCTTTTATTCCCTGAAAAGGTGTATATTTAATATAACAACTTATTTATCGATATTTGCGGTATGCATGGTATGGGCCTCTGATTACCTTACACAACATACAATAAACTTAGAAAAAAAAATCAAATATACATATATACATTTTTTCATAATTTTCAACCTAACCAGGGTATTAAGATCGAGTCGACCTCTCTTAGCCACGTTTGACCCAACCAACTTTTACTTATTAACAATATTTTACTTTTTTACCCGACTTAAAGCTGCGTCAAGGCTAGGAGAGCCGAGCATGAGCGGAGCACGAACCGAACACACAACGATCACTATCGTCGAACGTTTCCATGATGTTCGGCTCGAGCGAACGACGTTCGTCAAAGTCGGTCTACACAAGACGAATGTGTTCGGCTCACGCTCAGTTCGTCTAGTGTAGACGCGGCCTAATAATCGAATCATAGATCTTCTACCAACAACTTTTTATTTCACAGTCGCATTCATCCTCAACCAGGCAGTTTGTCAACATGTCTCGACCATTACTACCGAATACTATGAAAAGGCTTCAAATATATTATGGCGGAACAATTCATTAATAATTCGCCAAGTCCAGGTATTGGCGTCAGCGTATCGTCGACAATTACTTAGAAACAGTATTACGTTGAACCACACGAACAGTCGGCAAGTAAACTGGATCCTTTTACTGCCATTCCACTTAAGGGTTGTGAAGGAAAAGGTTGCTCGCGTGGTCACAGTTTGGACGTTTCCATATGTGTATATATTATTATATTTACGGAATTTTCTTTGGAAGAAAAAGAAGAAGAATATATGTTGTCTCTTTTCGTCAATGATGTTTTATTATCCTTTGCAACTAATCTTACTAATATCATAAATGCACGATCTCCGGCCACCGTAAGCGCGGGCCTGCGGACGGTGAGCATGGGTGGCTCCCCGTCCGACCAGAAACAGACCCGAGCGTACGGCGCGTCGCGTTCCGCGCGCGCCTCAAAGAGCCATCAGACCACCACAGATGGGGCCCAATAGGGCCGATGCCGATTCGGAGTCGCGGAGAACCTAACGGGTAACCGGGGCTCAGGCTCGACGTGTGGCGTGGGGTGGTTTTTAGTCAGTAAGAGTCTGACACTCCCTTCCGCCTCACCCAGGCGGGAGCAGTCATTCGATGATTTTCCCCCCTTAAAAAAAAAAAAAAAGATCGTAATTGCGAAAGCTTGTGTGCTTGATTTTTATCCCAGAACCCAGGTGGTAAAAGATAGTTTAGAATATATAGCTTCTAGCTTCTAGAATATAATATATTTATTATATATGTAATAATGGCTACACCTGTTGCCATGGCCCTATTACAAAAAGTCAATGCTACAATTGAGATTTTTTAAAGCGAATACTTTGTTGACTCCAGTATTACTAAACTCTTGCTTGGCCAATTTTAATGTTACACAATTTGCACCCATACTACTTGAATGCAGAGTAAATTGAAAGAAAGAAGAAAGAAAGAAAGAAAAATAATTTCTAATTTCTAATTTATAAAATTGGCTTCACTACTCATTATCCGAGAGAGTAATGCATACAAACTAAATTTACCTAACTTTAACCCGCTATCAATGGAACCCCACCCGAGGGTTGCGGCGACAACTCAGAAAACCCTAGTAATTTACGGCTGTGTAGTTCGTAGCGCCCAAGGAAACGGTTTATTATCACCCTGAGAATGAGAGTTGGCAGAATATCGCTCTATCAGCCATTTTATGTAGAAGAAACTTGTTTGTTTATTTATTGAAATGCTTATTGCAAGGTTCTAAGCACATGCTTCTCACGTCTTTTTTTGTGTGGCGTGCGTCATAGTACAGGATGTTTGTTAAATAAAATATGATTTAGAATGTAACAAGCACCAAGGGGGTGTGTTTTATCTGTGTACTATATTTTGTCAGTCGTGTACGTATCACGGTGGTTTCTGTACCCTGAATGAACTATCAACTACTTGCAATGGTACAACACTTTATTTTATCTGTGCATTTTAAAAGTTTATATTAGGTACACATACAAACATAACATCACAACTTTTATCCCCTAAGGGGTAGGCAGAGGTGCACATTACGTCACTTAATGCCACTGTACCATGTAACACTCACTTTTCCCTATTTATGTTATGTTTGATGTTACCTAAATAAATTTCAGAACTTTAAGAATATTTTCGACCCATATCTTACTAAATAACTGTAGGTAGGTACATAAATATAGTATTTGAAAGGGTCCAATAAATTCCTACCCCGTCCTATATTCGGAGAGACTAATCGCCAGCCTGGTCGATAATAGGCAAGTCGTTAAAACAAATACTCTTGTTTATTAGGCCCATTATTGTAAGTAATTGGATTAGAAAACTGGACTGCTATGAGCCCATTACATACTTTTGTGTGTAACTAGTAATTAAGGCTTTGACTGCCAATAGAAGCTGTTGAAGGCAAATCCTTCGCTAACGTCGGTCACCGTTGACCCCCATGGCGTTTAAGGTGTTTAACATTGAAGTATTGTTAATTGAAAATGATAATTCAGTTTTTAATATAAGTACACTTGTTCATAACCTACTAGAACAAGTAAACTTTATTATGTTTTTCGGATTACTCACGTAATTATTTGACGAAGAACTTGACTAGTTTTAAGCCATTCTAGAGGCTCATATTCATGAGCAGCACTCTGTGTCCAGACGCGTCGTCTGCCGCGCTGCTACTCAGTAGCATGGCTTGATACTTGTCGAGTTCCTTGTCAAATATAATAATAAGCTGATAAAATATAATAATTAATTTAGTATGTCTCACGAAAATTAAAACATAAATACAAGTAAACTTTGGTTGAAGTACTAGTATAGAAACAATACAACTACGCTTCACAGCTTCATCTCGCAAACGGATACTTGATACTCTTTCCCTCGCCATAATACCTCAACAAAGACTTTATATCTGCCACAAAAATGATCAAATATGCACCCTAAGGTACCCTATCTATTTCACCCCTACCAAAGAACTCATCCCTTATTGACAACCAAAAAAATCTTCACATCATTGCTGGTTTTGTTCAAGATAACCAGTCATCTAGTCTGTTTGAGTCATCTTTGTATAGTAAATATTCTGTTTTTGTCGCGTCAACGTGAAATTATCGACAGAGTGACGTGACATGATGTTATCGATAATATTATGTGCTTTCAACTACGAGGAACGTAGGGGTGACAGAAATTTTCAATGGAAGCCGTCAAGGACAATGTAGGTCCCTATTATGGGAAATAATATGGTTCGCAACGTCTGGACGCGACATGAAAGGATTATTTTGATGGCAGCCCTGATAGCTCCGCTTTGATTTCGCTCATGGTTTTGAGTATGCGTTCAAATTTTACATAACGTCACCACTTTTGACATACAAAATGTACAGGACATATTTTTACTGGTTATATTATTAATTCAAATAATTATATTAAACACGTAGTAGATTTTTATCATAAAATATTACTTATATTAAGTTATTAACAGCTATTTAGTTTAATAAAGTACTTAAATATGGAAGTTGTCTCCTCAAAAATATTTAAGAATTTTTTCAGCTAAATCTGAGAGCTTGTTAAAGAGCTTGTCTGTGTGTGTTTGAACGCACTAATCTCCGTAACTACTGATTCAATTTGAATAATTCTTTTTGTGTTGGATAGTGCATTTATTAAGAAAAATGATAGGCTACAAAACATCACGCTACGATCATTAGGAACCGAGCAGAACAGATAAAATTACGCAAGCGTTGCTAGTGAAATGCAATTCCACATGTGGCATAAAAGGGTATATACAAACTGTGTCCCCCACAATCCCAATAGTCCCCTACACCGCTCTAATCTTATTTCCCCTGCAGTGACATGGAAACAAGTTTTAACCAGAGTTTACGGTTTAAATGCGACAGTTAGAAAGCCTGGGTTTCGCTATACCGCTCTTATGTAGGTATATCTTGAACATTTTTGGACATAAAGTTTTGTCTCTTTTACAGTTTTTTTTTCAGTGAAGTTTTTTTGTGTGTGTAGATATAAATTATGTGTACCTATTTGTTTTGTTTTTTATGGCATAAGCCTGTAAACGAGCAGACGGATCACCTGATGGTAAGCAATCGGCGTCGCCCCTGGAACACCGAGGCTGATTGCTTACCATCAGGTGAACCTTTTGCTCGTTTAACGGCTTATGCTAAAAAAAAACATGTTACTTGTTCTTAGCATGAAATAAAGTATTTTTTTCTCTCTTCTTCTATATTTTTTACATTTATTTTTTGAAATGAATTCAAACTGTTTTCTTAAATAATAATTTCATTATAAAACATTATCCATATGTACTTTAGTTGTTGTTACAAAAATCAATAATAAGATACGCTTTATTATAAAATCAAATTTTACTAATCACTTAACAATTAAAACTACGAACGTTAAACAACTATTTCAATATCACATCGTAATTGTAATAATGGCTGAAGCATAAAGGTCGTATAGGCCACCTAACTCATATTTAATCAAGATTTATAACGTTAAAACATGGGGAGTTATTGTTACCCTAAAATATAGGTACGGTTGGGTCGAGCTCGACCCCGTGGTTACAGTGACC